AAAACATATTGCACAGACTATAATGAAAATACAAAGAGGCAAAAAACCCAAATAGTTTGAACAAATAATTCAGAAGACTAATGAAATTATTAAAGATAAGAGTCACATACTGCTTACACCAAACTCCTACACACTTAAAGCCAAACAGGTTAACAAGAAAGACTGGATCTACAATATGAAAACAAAAAGTATAAGGAAAATATCTTTTATAACAAATCAGTATGCAACAATATACCACTGGATAACAACACCAAACAGCACAACTCTACAACCATGTTCTGGATGCAATCTTAACAAAATGCAACTACAAAAAAACAAAGTGCACTTCAACTTATCCTACAGCATACCTTGGACAAATCAAAGTAGACTCTAAACATAATATCAAATATAATACCAAAGAACTAGCAACAATACATTTCAACAATAAGGATAATCAAAAACCTATAACTAAGCCTGCCAACAAGTCGTTTATCAAATCATATCAATGAACCTTCTCTGACATAACCAATATGATATTACCTCAAAAGGCAGCAGAAGACCTTTGGAACCTGTATCAAAATACACCAAAAATGAAATCAACCAATATTAAGTTAGTGACCTATAAACCAAATACAACAGAAAATATGTCAGTCATTTGGGAAAATAACAAATCAAAATGTTAGTTTTGCTTTAACAATTATAGCTGACCAAGCACCAACAAAGCACTATGCACAGCTCTAATATGCATTGCACTTAGCACTCATAAAAACACAAACATAACTATACATACTGACAAAAAACAGTTTATCCAAAAAGCAAAGTCTATTTTAAATACTCTATTCTGGCATAATACTCAGACTTACAAAACTTTACTATGGCCTAGCTGGCTAACACTAAAAGCAATTATCAAACAAAAATCTCAGCAAATCCAGTTTCAGTTCAATAGAACATTGAACATTACAATCAGATCCAATATCACTATATATCACCTTAGCATAAACCACACAGCAATAAGATGTGATATCTTTACTATCAACTGGCACAATGTATGCATTGAGCATGTATCCAGAAGATTTATCTGATACATTAATAATGCATATCATATTGCCATATAGCACATTCAAAATTAAATAAGCACTTGAAATACAATATATAAAAAAATTGACTGAGAAACCTTTCACAACTTCATAAACTTTAATGACAAACCTACTTCCAGATATATACATTCCTCTTATTCAAACCTAAAGGCCTTTAAAATTAAATTCTTTCTTAATAAACTACCTATCCAAATAATACTACATAAATGCAATTCCAAGAAATATAATAACCCAAACTGCCAAAGATGCAAAACCAACCCTGAAACCAATGAACATTGAACACAATGCCATACTAACAATACCAACATTAACTCTATTATTGAAGACACAATTACAAAAATCCTTACCAAACATTACTTCAATACACCACAAAATTTGGAAATCCTTACTTCATTATTAATATTATTGAACACCTATAACAAACAGGAAAACATGATAACTAAAGGCATTATTATCTACATCAAAGCAAGATGATTAACAAGACAATAAACAAAAAGATAAAGCATACAGCAGCTGAAATAATATTGTATAAAATTAGCAAAGCAATACACAAACAAATCTGGATCACCTAATGTCAAAGAACATCTAAAGACCAAAATATACCAAACCAACAATTCTCGAACATCACTACATCTAGTAAACCAACCCAACCCAATACACTAATCTCAGACAACAGTAATGCCAATAACTACATACCTATTAACTACAAAAGTCTACAAGTTGAAAAAAGAATCAGCATCTGAACAGAGAACTTTAAAAATTACAATGCATTACCTAACTCTATAGCAACAATTCAGGACTAAGTGAGGCCTTTGGCTTCTCTTAGCAAAGTTTAAGTTGGGGGTAAATTAGCCCTAGCTTTAGTTTTTCATAGATAGAATATATGTGATATTATACTTTGTAACATACCAATATATAAATTTCAATAAAGAAAACTGAGGCAAGACCTTACTTTTTTTAAAAAAAAAAAAAAAAAGAATAAAAAAATATAAATATAATATTATATTAAATAACTATAACATAAAGTAATATAATAATATAAATAAAATATATTTTTTTTTAATATTAATAATAAGGCCATATCTCTATTTTTATTGAATATTTATTTGAAATTTTACATAAAGTATAAATTTACTATTGAAAATATTATAAAAAGAGTAGAAACTTAGACTAGTTTATCTGTAACCTAAATTAACAAAAATGACCAAGGCTTATCTAGATTTGGTTGTTAGTGATTATATATGAAAAATTAGTTTGGTATTTGATCTATTGTATATACCAGAAGTTAATTTTAGAATAAATTAAATTAGAAAAAAAATTAAGATAAATGAATATAAATAAAATATAAAAATTGTAACAACAATATAAGTTAATAAAAACAAATTTACAAATTAGTATTACAAAAATATATATATTAATCTATTAATATTTATATATATATTAATCTATTAATATTTATATATATATATTTAATTTAGTTTATTTTTTTATAAAAAATATTATTAGTTTAATGATATCTAATTGCAAAATAATAATTTGATATTTTTTTAAATAGTTTTAATTTTTTATATAAAGAATTATATATAGATATTTAAAAAAAAAACAGATATATAATATTAGTTATAAAATAAACAAGATTAATATTATATAAATTTTATACAAAAAATTTAATAAAATAAAATTAACAAAATCAATTAAATCAAAAAAACATATGCTTAAACTGATTTAAACTAACTTAAAATTAATAATATTATTGAAATTAAGTAATAAATATAATAAATAAAATAAAACTATTAATTATTTATTTTTTTAAGATAATAAAAATAATAATAAAAATTTTATATATTAATAAAAATAAAAAAACTATTATTTTTTTAACAAGTTGTATCCTTATTCGAAGATTTATAAATAATAAAAAATCTTATATGTTTTTATATTTTTGAACATAATATATAAAAGTAAGTCAACAAAAAAAGTACAAATTATTTTTAGTAAAATTTTTTAATTTTTAAATTAAAATATTTCAATAATTATACAAGTTGAACAAATAAATAAAAAGTAAATAATAGGTAAATAATGAAATAAAATCTTTTATTATTCTATTTTATATTTACTAAATAATAATGATATGAAAGCAACATAACAATAAAATAACAATAAAATAACAAGATGTTTATTAATATTGGTAACATAATAATAATATATTAGAAAAATACTAATCCATTTTTATTATTTTATTTTTAACTACAAAAACTATAAATAAAATAATAAAACTATTTCATTATTTTGCTAATACATATGTTATCATTATATTATCAAAATTAACAAATCTCCTGTTATTTTACTGTTATTCTGCTGTTATACTTGCTGCTATTATACAACCATTATTTGGCAGATATAAGGTAAAATAATAAAAGATTTTTATTTTATTATTTACCTATTATTCATTCTTTATTTATTGTTTAACCTGTATTGTTTAATCAATTTAATAAAATTGGTTTTATTTTGATTTTAAAATTATATAAAATTAAAATAAAAAAAATTTATTAAATTTGATCAAATAGTTATTAAGATATTTAAGTTCAAAGTTAAGAAAACTTTTACTTAGAAAAAATTGGTCTCCTTTCTATTGACTTCCAACTAATTTGCTTAAAAGTATGTACGATTTGCAAGTATTTAGGTTACAAAAATAAGTTAAATTCTTTTGCCTGAATTATGTGTCTATATCGATATCTTTTAGCAGTATTATAACGCAATTGATAACTACAAAATGAAATTACCAAATTAATCAGTTCAGTAATTCAGAGAAAAATTAAACATTTTAAACCAATTTATTTTAATACTATCAAATCCAAGAAAAAAAAAATACAGTATATTGTTTTATCATATTAATATTTGGTATATAGTATGTTTTCAACAAATTGCTTTAAGAACTTCAAGATTAGCTTTTTAAAAATGTTTCTTGATAAAATGTACTATTGATTTTAAAAATCGTATAATAACCAATTACAAAAAATTTCACTATAGCTTATATCGAGAGAGTACTATATGAGTGCTGCAGAGCGAAAAGCTGGAAGTGAATATTTAAATTTTCATCATGGCGAGTTTAGCCCATTTAGTCCTGTGAATTCTGATGTTACGTGATTAATAATGTATATAATCAGTGTCCTAGTCGTTTAGTAAAATTTCGTACGAACATATTGTTATTGTTACTGAACTATCAAAACATTGTTTATCGGTACGTAATATCGAAGTTCTTCAAGGACTAAATTCGCCATGATGAGAGCTTAAATATTCACTTCCTGCTTTTCGTTCCGCAGCACTCATATGTATTTCACTATATCGAGTTGAAGTTTAATAATTCCATAATTCAAAAATTTTCATTATATCAGAATTTTCACTATATCAAGAGTTCATTAGAACGAGAGTGTGTTGTAATTAGTTTGTATAGTCTTATTAATTTATTGTTTAATAAAAAATTATCTTTTAGTAGGCTTGAAAAATTTGGATCTTATTCATATTAAATAATCGATTAAATATTTAATCACAAGTGTTTGGCTCATTGTTGACTACAACTTACAAAGAAGTTAATTTATATAGTGGGTTTTTTTACAAGACTTTCCGTGTCATGTACCGTGTTTTTAAAGAACAATTATCACGGTTGTATTTTTTGCAATTAATTTGTTTTTTTTTTTGCATTAAATAAATCACAAGAACTCTTGATTTGTTATGCAATTTTTGATATTGCACTGCCATTGAATAAACCAGATTTCATTATTTAAAACTGTATATATTTGAATGAAAACTATATCGATATCAATATCGGTATAGTATCTATACTTATGCACATTTGATAGATTAGATGTGATAACCAGGTTAGGACTATATATGTACGTACTTACGTGTACGTACAAAAAAAAAAAAATGCCACCACAAAATTTTGTCATTCTTGGAGGTGGCATCTCTGGTTTAACAGCTGCATGGTATTTAGCTCGTAATGCGCCCTCCTCAACAAAAATCACATTGTTAGAAGCATCAGATAGATTTGGTGGATGGATACGAAGTACACGTGTTGGAGAAGAAAGGATACTTTTTGAACAAGGCCCCAGAACCTTGAGACCTAGTGGATTAGGTGCAGGTGTTATACTGGATATGGTAAAAAAAAAATAAAAAACCAATTAGTATTTGTAACCAAAAAACTTCTATTTACATTTTATAAATTTTGCTAATTTTGTGCATATGTATGTAATTTGGACGATTATAAAAAAAAAAATTAAGGCTGCAAAATTGAATCTAACAGGATTCATTCATGCAGTTGGTAAATCTGAACCAGCTGCCAGAAACCGTTACCTATATTACCCAGATCACCTCGTTCAACTTCCAGGAGGCAACTTACTTCCAGGCTTAAAAAGTGTTGTACAGAATAAATTTATATTATCCTCACTATATTCAGTATTACGTGAACCATTTATCAAACCATTTAAAAATTTGGATGATGAAAGTATTCATAATTTTATTACAAGAAGATTTAATTCAACATTGGCTGATACATTGATAAGTGCACTCGTACATGGAATTTACGCTGGTGATGTAAGAAAACTTTCGATCAAGTCCACGTTTAAACGAATATTTGATATGGAACAGATTTATGGATCGGTAATTAAAGGTACAATTAACAGCAAAAACTTGCCTACACTTTCTCAGAAAGATCAAAGTTGGTTGAATTCACTTTGTGAAGAGAACAAAGATCTTTTCGCATTGATGATCACTACGAGTCTTTATTCTTTTGCAAATGGTATTGAACAATTGGTGCACGCTATTGTTAATGACTTGGAAGCTAGAGAAAATGTAACTATAAAGACGTCACATCATGTAAAAGAACTGAAATTTGGTAAGGATATCGAGGTAAGCACACTTAAATGAGAAAATGTATACTTTTCTATTAAATAAGGAAATGCTTCTAATTATTTGCAATTTTCTTAGGTCTATACAAATGATATGTCATTCAATGCAGATCATATTATTAGTACTATTCCATCACACGAGTTAGCAAATCTTCTTCCTGAGCTTCCATATCTAACACATAATCCTTCAGTAACAGTTGCAGTTGTAAACATTGCATATGGCCGACCAAATTTACTGCCAGTCAAAGGATTTGGTTATTTAATTCCACACATAACACCAAACAATCCGTATCATGTCCTTGGTGTAGTATTCGATTCTGATGCCATGCCACATCAAGATTATAAAAAAGATAAGTACACAAAACTTACAATAATGATGGGAGGACATTATTATAATGATCTTTCAGAAAATGATTATCCAAATAAAGATGAATTGTTAAGTCAAGCAATTGAAACAATAGAGAAACACTTAGGAATATATTCAACCCCATTGCAATGCATGGCACAAATTCATAAGAAATGTATACCACAATATTATATTGGGCATTATTCCAGAATGAGAGAATTACATTATGCGATTAAGAAAAAATATGGGAAAAGATTGAGCGTTGGGGGAGCGAGTTATTTTGGTGTTAGCATTAATGATTGTGTTGCTAATTCTGCAAGGTTGGCGCTCGATTTGCTTGGAAATGATGATGAAAAAGCAATTATTACTGGATTAGAAAGAGTTGAAGTAGAATGAATTAAACAAAATCAATGGAAAATTTACAGTTCATTGGAATAGTTGCAGTAAATAATTTAAATCATCTAGGTCTAAGAATTGAAAGATATTTTACATGGGACCTTAAAAGATGTCTGTTAGACTATGCTTTTAAATTTTTAATTTCTTTCAAAAATTGTTGAATTTAATTATACTACACTAAAAAATAATAAAATATTAAACCAATTACTTTTGCATTTCACAATTCGAAAAATTAAATCATTAATTTTATAGGTTTATGTCACAAAAAAATTAACGCTAGAACGTATCGTATTTTCGCGTAATAACACCTGTGGACGTTATTTAGAAAATCACGCTACCTGAAAATGACGTGCGCAGTTTCAAAATAACGCCCAAACAATAACGCGCACTCATATAAAAAGCGGCTTCTCCACTCAGTGTCGATTAATAATTAGATGTAACAGGCAGTATAATAATATGCTGCTACAATAAGAAATTAAAGTATTTCAAATACTCTTATTGACAAATAACTATTATACTTACCAGCTAAACCGGTTTGGATAATCTATCGGTTTAGCGTTATTTTTGAAGAAGAAATTTTATCTTTGTCTCAAAATAATAGTACATGTTATGATTATAATCCCGCACCAATTTATTATAATCATAGCATTTGCTAGTGGTATTGTAAATAATTTTTTATATGTTGCGCAGATTGACGTTATTACGCGAAAATACGATAAATAACAAAATACAATATATGTATTATCTAATCGAAATTACAATAATGTTGACAAAGGAATGATATTTTAAGTTATAGTGTGTTTAAATCTGATGTCCTAAAATTGTGTAATTTTTAAATATATCGACTGAAATTATCCTAATATTGTAAAACGTTTAAAATACCATCTATGTATAGTAACTTTTTCAGGAAGCTTGGAATGCATAACGTCCCAGGGAATATCACATGAAGGCTAAAATGTATAGTATCTCAATTTTATACACATTTAAAAAAGAGAAAATAACATAATATTATTTTCAGTATAGTCTAGAAATTTGATGTAAAATTTCCGGGTACTTCATTCGGATGATAATTAGATGATATGGTAATTTACTAATTAACATCTAATTTTCCGACTTTTAACTACAGTGAAATTTATGTCAGCTACTAAAAATTGATCCAAACTTCTTGTGGAAACAACGCCCTCATAACCTTCCAGTGTTCAAATGCTGATAACCGTTGTAATTTGTCTAAAGGATTATGCTCGTCAGTAATAATATCTGTGACATTTCGATAGTTCCATAAGTTGATTTGCCAATTAAGAAAATTCCCAAGCGCATATTCTCTACTTGCGCTACCTAAAAAGTCAGCTTGTGTTGCTATGTTGAAGTTGATATAATTTGAAGATGCAAAAAAAACCTTTACAGAACGATAAAGACGTTTAAATTAAATTTTTGACTCAAGAATAATTATGAAATGATGTAAATATCAGTAATAGTACCATGTTTTGACAAGGCACAGGACCTTCTCGTGGACCTTCTCTAAAACACTTTACATATGGAAAAACGGCCTTTATTGTGTTTGCTACTAACGCTAAGCTTTCGGCATGCGGCCACTGTTCAGAACTAACAAAATTCTAGATAAAAAGAATAGAAGAAAAAAGTTAATAAAGTTTGAATAAACAGTAAAAGAGAATACATTTATATGTCCGCTATTAAATACCAGCGCTAAAACGCCATTTGCCTTAAGTATTCTCTTAATTTGTTCCAAAGCTTCAATCGAAAATAAAGCTGATGGTACTGATCCTCCAGTAAATACATCATGTAATACATAATCATATGTTTGAGCTTCCGCATTATTAATGAATTTACGACCATCCTGAAGATATATTTTATGCTCACGCTTCAGATTAAAATAATTTATCGCAAAATCATAAACCACTGGATCAAGTTCAACCACGTCCAATTCAACATTATGAGCTTGTAGTGATGCTGTTAATACACCAATACCAAGACCGCTAAAATAAAAATTAAAAATTGATTAAGTTCAATGGCACTAAGTATTAAGAGATGATTTGACTTAGGGCTTACATCTGTAAAGCTCTTTCGTGTTTATGCGAAACTCCCCTTTCAACCAGACGGACAGCTAAAAGTAAGCAATTATAATAAATTATCAATATCGATTTCATATTGAATATGTATTTGATATCTTTATTTTTTATTTTTTAATATATATATGTGTGTGTGTTTTTTTTTACCTTCCATCAAATAGAAGCATCCATATATAGAATCCCAGCTCTCTTTAAATACTCCTCCTAACAAAGAGTGTCCAGCACGTAATACACGAATGTTGCGAGGTTTGATTTCTTCTACAACTTCGATCCAACCAGTTATAGATTCATTGCGTGAGAGGATATTATATTCTATATTGTTAACTACTGTGTTCTTTAAAAAAGACAAATTTCTTTTTTTATGTTATTTCATAGACTTAATAGCAGATAAAAAAAATATTTTAAACCATAAACAAACCTGAATTATAGAGACATTACAATGAGAATTAAAATTTGCATTATAAATAGTCATGATTATAATAAGAATTTGGGGCAATAGTTCTATGCTTATAAAAAGTAACCAAGAACGTAAGGAAGCTTTAAGAGTAGTTTTACGTCTCTGACTAGCGTCTTCTTCCAAACTTAATTCACCATAAATACACCATAAAAGCTTGAATACTGTTCCAACAAGTGCCAACAATAAACCAGAAAAATACAGTCGACGGCAAGATCTACCCCTTGTCATAACACTATACAGAACATAAATTAAAGTTGTGATGATAGTGAAATGTATTATTACATAAAGCATCCATCTAAAAATTGGACGACGTTGTTCTTTGGATAATCTTGCACAAGCCATGACATTAAGAAACCCAATCGAAAACATTATCGGATAAGCTAAGCCGAACTGAGTTATATGTGGACCTAAATAAGGACCTAGTAATTCGCTAAGATGAAATAACGCCCTAACAATTATCGGGGATAAAGCAAACAATATTCCACACCAATCAATTCCAGTTATTAATGCACTAGTTATTTCGTTATCTCTAGTTATTTGAGATAGCGATTTCGTTTTTATAATAAATCCAATCCCAACTAGAATTCCAAAAGCTAAACTCGATAAAGCAACCTCATCAAAATATATCGCGGAAAACACATTACCATAAACAGGTTCAACATAATTAGGAGAAACTTGAAGAATAACGGATGTAAGAATTGGAGTTATAATTAAGAAAGTTGCACGAGAAAGGGTACAAAGATGAGTTATTGAAGTTATTGTATCATCCCTTTTTTGTTGCTTATACAATAGATTTTGATTGCTTGAGGACGAAGACGATTGTTGTTTACGACGGCGTGGCATTACAGGTATGAAAATTATGATAGAAGATTTAAAAGATAAAATTGAAAGGATTGTAGATTATTTATTCATATAAGTAACGATCATCTTACAATATCAAGTAAATTTCTAAATAGGATAAATCTAACGAAAATAGCTACGTACGTACGTACGTACATAACAAGTACTATCTGCTATATTGTGTTTCATTCTTTTATACGTACGTAAAACAACAAGCATACATATCGATATGTGTACGTATGTAAAACATCTTACATAAAAAGTAATATGTGCATAAACTAATGTGAAACTGGTACGTATAGATTATCATTCTTATGTTTTATATTAAAAAATCAAAAAAAAAGGGATATAGTGGAGACCGTAAATACCTATAGCTGATAGTGTATTAATTAATGATGGGACATATGGCAACTTACAAAAATGTTCAATGAGTACAAAAACTTACGCAGTGTTGACAATTTTTTTGGCTTTGGTCGGTCAATTGAAAATACCCAATGGTCAATGCCAAACTTTGGCTAACAATTTCTAACCAACCATATCATTATGTAGTTACAATAGTATAACAAGGGAGTATCGCACTAGACCAGTGAGTTTTAATATGATGAAAAAGGTATGTTTTTGTTAATAAATCGGGTTTCAGTTTGGTTTTTTGTGGGTTGGAAAAGTTATGATACTTAAACAATTAGGTAGCTGAGCGACGTAGTTGCGCTAAAACCAGGAACGAAGTGCTTTATTTAGGATGAGTGAATAACATCAGCAAGTTGTTTTTTTTTATAAACTCTATAAAGTTACATAAAAAATTATATACCGATACAGTATTATTATGGTTCGAGCTTTTTCCTTTAATTTGATTGACCAATTTTCACGTGTAGATCTACAAACTTGACCAATCAAACCAACTTCTGTATGTAAAATCAGACTTTTACGCGTAATAGTAATTGTTTTACTTTTATCAAAATTATATTTTTTTTACACCTTTTTAACGTGCTTATACTTTTTATTCTTGTTATATTTTTGTTTATTTACTTTTATCCTTTCCCTCCTAAAAATAAAGAGAAACACGAAGTTTGCGTGCACTCCCGGAAACTTAATTGGAAAAATGGTAAAAAGGTTAGTATTTTTATATATTGTTTGGAGTGAGTAAGATAGTTAGAAAAGGAACTGGAAGCACGTCGCGGCCAC